TAAACCCTTGGGGGTATTTGTTATTTAATTAATGGTTGTTGGATTAATTGTAGTATCGCATGAAGACTATGTACATCATGTAATGCAAGTATGAGGATTGGTTATCAGTTTTACTTTAAAGAGCCATGACTATTGTATTACCATTTGGGCACGGAAATGGGGACATTACAGTTTCCAAGAAGGAAATCTCCATGCATATATAGAAAACGTAAAATTTTTGGTATAATAAACTTGCTATCATTTAACAAAATAGCTATATTTGTAGCCTTGAATTGTATGGAAGTGTGGTTGCCATCAATTCCAGTAACCAAAATTGGATATTTCATTAGTGTCCATTTTTCTTTTGGTATGGCATTCCATTTACATGAGCTGACCGTAGCTCCTGTATCTATGAGAACACTGAGGCTATAGGGTTTATAATTTTCCTGTATTTGCATTGGAAGGTATTTATAGATAAAACAGTTTCCAAGAAGGAAATCTCCATGCATATACAGAAAACATAAAATTTTTGGTATAATAAACTTGCTATCATTTAACAAAATAGCTATATTTGTTGCCTTGAATTGTATGGAAGTGTGGTTGCCATCAATTCCAGTAACCAAAATTGGATATTTCATTAGTGTCCATTTTTCTTTTGGTATGGCATTCCATTTACATGAGCTGACCGTAGCTCCTGTATCTATGAGAACACTGAGGCTATAGGGTTTATAACTTGCAAAATTAAATGTTCCCAATACATATGTGTATCTTCTTTTTCCTTGGCTAGGAAAAAAATAATATCATCATTTTTTATTTGAAAATGATACATATATGCAGACTTAATATGTTCAATTTTTTTTTTTTTTTTTTTTTTTTTTTTTTTTTTTTTTTTTTTGTTCCTGGGAAAATTGGAATCTGAACATTGTTTAAAGTAATAGATTCTTGATTAGAATTATTACTTGATTCTCCAATGCTTAATTTTGAAAATGATTTGTTAGGAAAATCTTTTTCAAATACAGAAGTTGATCTTTTAATTTTTGGAACTGTATTTTCAATATATAAATTTTTTCCTGATGCCTGCATTTGTAATTGTGCAGGATTTTTTGTTTTAGAAGATTCTCCTTGTCCCACTAGGTCTTAGATTAACCATTGTCGAGGGACCTCTAAATCGCTCCAATTCATTAGACGAGGTTGTATTACCGTGTCCAATGGTCTTGGTTCAAAGATTTCAACGATTTTATTATCGTTTGATTTTGTTCTTGTTTTTGTTTTAGGAAATTTGGTTAATTCGTGAATTATTTTCTAACGAATAGCCAAATCATGAGAATTTGATTTCATTCCTAATCCTTGTGTTTTAATTCTTATTCTGACTGTATCTTCAAGATTAGAATTATTTATGGAAACAAAAAAATTTGGTCTAACATTAAACCAAACTACTCCATTAGCCAAATTAGACTGAATTCCTCCAATAATTGCTTTCATTGGGTCGGAAAATCTTTTGTCAAAAATTACTGCCAAAATAGGAGTATCTATCCCTTGGCGAATAAGGTTGTTATGGTTACTTGAATTAATCCAATATGGATATATTGAATTTCAGGATATTTCTTTTTCCATCTTGCAACCTTTTTTGTTATAAAAAAAAAGAATGTCAACATTTCCTTCTTCTGACTGTTTTGCTTGAGTGTTACCACTGTATTGTTCAAACACTCTTGCTGAAAAAAAGTTGAATTTTGAAAGTTCATAAATTTCTAGAACAACAACTTCTTGCATTTTTTCAAGTAAAAGTTTTTTCTTCTCCGATTACATCTCCAAGTCAAATTGACTGTAATTCTTTCTGAGATATACTATCTGCTTCTTAAGATATTTCTTGACTATTATTCGTCATCATGAAGATTAGTTCGTCATCATGAAGATTAGTTCTTCATCTGAACTTTCTTTATCACTAGAAATTTCGTATAAGATTTTTTCTTCATCAGAAATTTCTTTGCCATATATTATTTCAAAATCTTGTTCTTCAAGAATTTTGATCATTTTCTTTGCACTTTTTTTCCTTTTGGGGCATTCAGGTGCATAGTGACCTTCTTCGTTACAAATGTAACATTTACAAGTTTTCTTTTTTGAAATACTTGGTTTTTTTTCGAATATACTTTTTCTTTTTTGAAAATGTTTTGTTCTTTTTCCAAGATTTCCATTTATATTTTCTACATTTTTTGGAAAATCCTTTTCGTTTAGGAAATGTATTACAATCAATTTTTCAATTTTCTTTTAAAATTTTATCACAACATTTTTAACCGTATTGTGAGTTAGAAATTTGACTTTTTATTTATTTTTTCGCCTTTGCTTCTAGACACTGATTTGCTATCAGTTTTAGAACATAATTAATGCGAAAATCAAGATTATCATATTTTTCCTTCCCCATTTTTTTTGAGAAAATCAGGATATGTTTTAATACATAACCCTTCCCATGGATTAGGGAGTTTATGGAAAAATTGATCTAGCCAGAATTGATTTGGTGGTGGATTAATAAGATAATAATATTTTTAAAAAGTTTGAAGATAGTCTTCAAAAAGACAAATATTACATAATTCTAATTTAGTCAAAATATAATTTGCATTGGCTTGCAAATTAGTATCTCCTGCAAAACCACATAAATTTTTTTTTATGATTTTTGCAAATTCAGCTAAAATTGTGTCAAGTATGAGAAAATTTGTTAACAAAGCCTTTTTTTTGACTTTTTTCAATTTCAAATTTTTCCCACTGACTTAACCATTGCAACACATCTTCCTGGAGAGTTGCTGCAATATAATCAAGGAATTTTTTTTTTGATCAACTATTTTTATAATTGGTAATAATGATGGACAAGGATTGTGCCCAATCATCAATTGCTTATTCCTGATCGTTAAATGAAACATGAGGCAAATCTAAATAAGTGTCATTTTGAGCTATTGGATAGTTATGATTATTATCTTTTCTAGATATTATTGGCTTAGGTGTATGATTGGAGGTACTTCCAATGTTAGAATCATTTTTAATTTCATTTGTCTGAATAAAGTCAAAATTTTCTCCATCTCTCCATGTGCCAAATAATTCGGGATCAATTGGTTCTTCTGCCTTTCTTTTTCCTTTATTTATTTCTGGTAAAATATCTTGATCTAATGTTTCTTCAGATGAGGATAATTGACTGTCATCATTATTAGTTGACATATTAATATCATAATTAAAGTGCTGTAAAAGGGCTTCATGTTCTAGATAAGTTTTTCTTATTTAATATAATAGCCTATTTCTTTCATCAATACCTAAATCTGGATCTTTATATAATTTTTTCCAATAATCCAATATTTCAACAATATTTTCATATTCAATCCTATTATAGGTATTGGTTTGAAGTATCATAATATCTTCTGTATCATAAAATAGCCTAGGGCTATAACTATCTCCTGGACTATTCATTCCATCATTGTTTATGAATGATATAATTTCTAATGTTGTCACTAAATTGTTTATTTAGTTTTTTGCTTCTTTATTTAAGTCAATATTTATTATAGAACCCAAATTGTCGATTTTAGATTCTATAGACTCAACTTTGATTTCTAGATAATTTTGATTTATTTTTTGATTTTATCTAATTTAGAAAACCAAGAACACATAATATTAGTAATATTATTTAAACTAGAACACACACTATTTATATTTGCAGACTCTTTAGTAATATGCAAACTATGATTATATTTATTATTAATATTATTTTTTGTATTTCCAAAGCATATTATATCTTCAGGGTTAATTGCCATTATCGATTGTTGTTGGTACCTAAGACCCTCCTAGTATATTATCTGGTGCCTAAAACCTCTCTTTATGATCTTAAAGACTTAATTATGGCCAATAGTCAAACGATTTCAATGAGTATATGGGTTTTGACATACACTAAGCATATAGGTTTTACAACAATTATAAATGAAACAAATAATTATGAAGATACAAAATACAAAGGATATACAACTAAAAACTTAGACGAATTTTTTATTTTATTTTATTTATAACATAAAGCACGCCATACACATTTATATATATCAAAATTTATACATAAATAGAAATACTTACACAGCTTGATCTTGCTTTCAAAAGCTCTTCACCAAGCTCTGATACCACTTACAAAAACGAAAAAGGAAAGAAACTTTTTACTATTTTTATTATGAAATTATGATAGAGTTATAGAGTATGGAATTATGATGGAAAAGTTAGAAAAGAAGTTGGAAGCACAAAGATGGAGATAATTTACATTGTTCATTATGTTGGCGTGAAGACTAATATATAGAATACAAGATGATGGATACAAACAAAATCAAACTTATTGCATACCTAACTTAGTAAGACTTTATGGCAAAGAGTTGCCAAAAAATCTAACACCCTAGTCAAGCCTAGTCATAGGCTTTATGAAATGTCTTCATAAAAATAAATACAAAAAGACAAAAATATTTAAAAGAAAAATTACAATTATTTACTATGTATTACAATTTTTACAATTATATACACTGATATTCAAAAAATAATAATGAATTTTATGTGAAAGGCATGAGTTGGTATCATACAAGCCACTCCAGAAATTGGGCCACTGATTATTCATAAGGAGAATTACTTAATAATTGGTTAGGGAAAAAAAAATACACAAAAATGACAGCCCCACAACTTTTTACTTGCACCCGCCAAGTTTTTATAATTTTTTTTCTTTCCAACTTTTTTCTCGCCCCTCCCCCCACCAAGTAGTTCAATTTCGTCCTCAAATGTTTGCCCAAACAATTATATTACTATTATTACTGGAAGAAAAAAAAAAAAGCGTATGGAAGAGAAACATCAATACCACTTGACTAAAATTTGCAACAGCTGTGTGCGTGAGAGAGATATATTTCACACAAGCCTCAACCATCAGACTCAAGAACAAGCAAGCATTCTACCCCCAAAGGCTATATATAAACCTGTCATACAAATGAAAAAAATGAAAAAAAAAAAAAAGATGCAGCCAAGGAAACAATACAAGCCATTAGCTCTTTCACAAGTATCCTCCCCACTCCCAGTACTTGGGCAGGCTTGGATCCAATAAAAATAAATCCAAAAGCCATTCAACTTAAATGGAGGAGGGACAACACACATGCATTTCACACATATCCTTAATTAGTAATTTGTTTGCTATCTTGTTAAACGTATTATACACCAACACAAAGCAAAGCAAAGCAAATCTAATCTGTACAAGAGGAAATGGCAAGACAATGCATAGCTCTACTGAAAAAAGTCCTCATCCTTCTCAATCGTCTTCCTGATGCGACCAAGGTCTTATCCTCAATGCCTTTAGCTGCATTTGAACTAGTTGCCAATGGAATAGGAAGAGGAAGAGGTGGAGATACTGAAGGTTCCACCTCTGAATGAGAAGGCAGGGTTGGTGCTGTTTCTGCTAGGATCTCTTCCAGTGTAGGAGGAACAGGTGTCAGTTGCTCTGGCTTTGGTTTGTAGTTGAAGGAGAGATCTTTGTTGGCAGCAAGAGCAATCAGCTCTTTCTTCTCTAGCCCTTTTGGTGGTCCCAGGCTGCAACAATTCTGGCTGTGCTTTGCCAATGCATCTTTGAACTTCTTGATCTGTGATGCCATCCTCATCCTTCTCAATCGACTTCCTGATGCGACCAAGGTTTTATCCTCAGTGCCTTTAGCTGCATTTGAACCAGTTGCCAACGGAAGAGGAAGAGGAAGAGGAAGAGGTGGAGATACTGAAGGTTCTGCCTCTGAATGAGAAGGCGGGGTTTGTGCTGTTTCTGCTAGGATCTCTTCTAGTGTAGGAGGAACAGATGTCGGTTGCTCTGGCTTTGGTGTGTAGTTGAAGGAGAGATCTTTGTTGGCAGCAAGAGCAATCAGCTCTTTCTTCTCTAGCCCTTTTGGTGGTCCCAGGCTGCAATAATTTTGGCTGTGCTTTGCCAATGCATCTTTGAACTTCTTGATCTGTGATACCATCCATCATCATTGCAATGCTTTAGAATGCACTAATAAAATTGAAGGAAAAAAAAATCCCCCCCCCCCCCCCCAAAAAAAAAAAAAAAAACCCACCGCTTGGACCTTATTGTTTGCAGGTAGATGATTGTGAATCAAGGACAAGGCAAGACATCGACTGGCTAATAACAACTGGTCTTTTTGGAGAAAAAAGAAACCTCGAATTTGTACCAACTTAAAGCTCCTTAAATAAGAAAACCTTTATAAAAAAGAGAAGAAGAAGAAGGGGGCAATGCATACTCACAGTTAAATCCAGTTATAACTAGCGCAATGAAACAGGGTTGTGAGGAAAGAAAAATCTTACGTTAGGAACAAGGGAGTAGGAAACAAGGTTCGTTCCAGATACTAATTAGTTTCCAACAGAAAAAGTCCCCATTCAACATAGTTTCTGATACAAAATTCATATGCAAAGACAATGGGCAACCTAGTGCATGGGGCTCCTGCTAAAACAATGTCCAAGAGGGTAAGAAAAACACAGTTGTATCCTCATTTCTAAAGAGAATGTTTGCGTGACTTGAATTTGCAATACCAGGGATGATAAGCAGCTCAACAGTACAAAATTTATATTCAAACATGGGTGGAAAATGTATAGCAGCTAAAGAAGAGAGGAAGACGAGAACTAACTGTGGCATTGGTGCAGCTAAAGCTGCAAAGACGACCGTGAGCACCTCTGTAGAAACGGAAAAAGGGAAGAACACGGACATTAAGGGAGTAGCACATGGATTTGTGTTCCTCGTAGTTCACCTGCAGAAACTGCACCTCTGGGTTCATCTCTGCTAATTGACATATCTGCAGTGCAGAGTCCAACCACAAAAATTTACATTCTAATGCTACTACTTGGTATGGTTCTAGAGAATGATGAATTTTCTTTTCTTACATTCTTCCTGAACTCTCTAATATACTCGACTTTTTCTCAGAGATTAGAAAATTGTAAGAGGAACAATAATAGGTGAGAGGAGGGGGATTATGGGACCTTGGGATGAAGGGCTTTGCAGCCACCACAGCCAGGGGAAAAGAAATCAACAACAACCAGTGTGTCCCCAGCGTTGAAGAGCGACTCCACAAGGTCTTGGGCACCTTTCACCTCTTTCATGTTGGGTTGAAGCCCTTTCTCCCACCATTTTTGAGTTTCCCCAATAATTCCTGTCTTCATCTGTGCAAGTACAAATAATACCAATCTAAATTAAATTGCCAAAGGGAATTTAAATTGCTAATCCTATTACCCCCATAACTAACAAGGGAACTTTATTCCAGATCCATGGATTTAAAAGAAAAGAAAAGAAAAACTTTGGAACAATAAGGTTAGAGTAGAGATTGGAGGAAGTACAGACCTGTGCATTAAGAGAAAAGGAACAATATTGGATATTCCCTTTCTTGGGGATGCCCTCAAGCTCTTGAACAAGAAATCTATGGCCATGAAAATCGCTGTTGAGTGATGATGACGTAGATGATGATGATTTGAGGGAGATCATTTCATAGCTGTAGAGACGGGAACCTCATTCCAGAAGAAAAAATGGATGATGATTTAGTCGGAAATACAGAAACCCCATGATAATGAGAAAGAGGACGACGACGATGATGGTGGTGATGCTGATTGTGATGCTGCTGATGAATCATCGAAGAATTTAGCGACAACATATTTGTCTTGTTCATCATCATAACCTCTGCTATCGATTCCACCAATCCAAACCCACCGCTATCAAAACCACACACAAAATCCAATCCTCCTCCCTCCTCTTTTTTCTACTTCAGCACTCACAGTGAACCCACCCAACAAAAAGGAAAAACAAATATTGCAGATCAGTTTGGTTCTTCTTCTTCTTCTATAATCTGCTGGGGAGTTTTGATTTTCTTTTACTCGAGAATATTGCGAAGGTTGGTCGCTTTCTCTTTCTCATCATGCACAAGTAGGAAAGAGAGCGCATGGTCCAAAAAGATTTTTAGCTTTTTTTTTTTTTTTTAAACTGCTTTTTTTTTTTTTTAAACTTTTTTTTAACTTGTTCCCAAATTGCTCCAATACTGCGAGTGTTCGTTGCTTTCTCTTTATCATCACGTAGGCGTGGGAGAGAGAGCGCTTGGTCCAAAAAGATTTTTTTTAAAATAGGATAAATTATATTAACACCCTTAAAATTTATATTTATTACGGTTCATTCCATTATATTTGAAAATTTACATTGATTCTTTGTTAATTTAATTTTATGTATGATGATTATTACGGTGAGGGAGGAACTGTTATAAAACTTTAAACTTTAGAAGGCAATCTATAATAAAACTTTAAATCTCAAGGAGGAAATGTAATTTTCAAAAGGTAAGAAAAAAACTGTAATAAATATTTTTTTTTAGCTAAGTTAAAATAAGAATGTTACTATTAGCACCCCATAAATTATTTTGGATCCCCCAATTTTTAACCCTTTTTTTTTTTTGGTAAATTACAAATACACTCTCATAGGTTTGCTTAAAATACAGATTGCCTCATGTGGTTTGAAAAATTACAAATTACTCCTTGTTAGTATTTTTTATTTAACAGAATTAACTAAAAAAATAATTTTTTTAATTGTTCTTCTATAAAATAATAAAATTACTTAAATTATTAATTAAAATAATATTTTAAATTATTAAAAACTATTACTTGATTTGATAATTTGTAAATAAAAATGATTATTTGTTATGAAATTAGAAACTTTAATGGGTGAAATATAATTTTCAAAATCACAATAGACAAATCGTATTTTAAACAAACATCAAGAGATGTATTTATAATTTACCTAAAAAATAAAAATAAAATCTAGTATTATTATGTAAAAAAGTCTATTAATACATAAAATTCATAGGAAAAGTAAAATAATAAGGCAATAGCGTTGTTGCAAATTATGGTTTTTATAAGTTTATTTTAGGTCAACTTTAAGCCCAAATTTGAGTAGGATCCACACGTCTTTTGAGATGGGTCTAAAGAGGTGTTGTGTTCCTTGTCGCATGGTAAGTCAGTAAACGGTTTGTCAAAACCATTTATGAGTAAATATGAACTTGATGTCGTTTTTAGATTCTTGAAATGGAAGGTTAAAGAGTTAAATGTGTGTGGCACCCTAAATGTTTAATTAAATACCACGAAATATATATATATATATATATATATAATTGGAGTGTAATAAAATATTGAATGATTGTATGTGATAAAGTGAATTTAATTAGAAAATATAATTATTTTAAAAATTAAGACAAAGTAGAATTAAATCCAAAAAAAAAAATAGATATACATGGCTTGTCACCACTCTAACACGGGGTGGTGAATATGCATATATAGTTCGGATGAGTCGCCTAGTTAAGAAGCAGATAGCAAATGAATTGAGCCTCCGTTTGGGAAGTGGGTTGGGCTTTTCAATTTTTTGATTTTTTTGGCTGTTTTAGTTTGGGCTAAAAAGTTTGGTTTGGGAAGGATTTTTTGACTTTTTGACTTTTTTAACTTTTTTTTATAAGAGAAGAATGTAATGATTATGGATTAGATGTGATGTTTTATTTTTTTTAACTAAAATAATCTATTTTATCTTTTATAACTAAAATAGTTAAAAAAATCGCGTTTAACTCTGGTCCAACGGAGCCTGAGAGTGACACTTGTTGAGGGGGTGGCAGTGGCAAAACTTGTCACATGTCAAACAGAGACTATGCATATGGCCCCTATAAATAGTACATTCGTTGCGCTTCGGAAAAGAACAAAATATACATATATAAAGAACAAGTGCAGCGTACAAGTAGTAGAGAATCAATAATAGGAAAGTAAAGGTTAAGCGTGAATAGTAGGGTGAGTTATATTATATTTTGAGTCATTATAATATATTTTATGTATATTTTAAGTTATCATAATTTATTTTACGTAATTTGTGTTTCATAAATTATATTAATATTTCAATTACATTAATTATTTTTTGAATTCTATTTGCTTAAATTAAAACCCATGGATATGTTTGTTTCAATTTTAATAATTATTTGACAATGATTTTGGTAAACAATTATTTTCTGTAAATACCACCATAGGAGTCCCATGCCTTAGGGGACTTAAATAATCTATTGGCTTCTGATCAGTCACCTTATGGCCCTATGTTTGTTATGGATCCATTGACTTCTGCTCTGACTGTCACTCCAATGACCTCTGTTCTGTTCTGTTCTGTTCTGTGGTTATGCTTATTTATTTACATAAATTTATATATCCTAGTTTCTGCCACTTAAATAATTTATTTATTCAAATTAAGTTATGTTAATGTATTAACTTAAATAACTATCCATGGTTATTTTGTGTCTCCTATACTCTTGGCATAATATTTCTCACTCTGCTGTGTGCTTATAGCTGTTATCCCTTTTAGGTGATGAGATGTAAAGAAGAATTGTAATCTCATACAGTGGGACCCGCACGAAATTTGATGCCTACCTGTTACATTTTGTTTTTATTTTCTTTTCCTTTTTTTTCTAAAATTTTGTCACCGTATAATAAAATAATAAAAGCCCCATGGGCGTATTTTCGACCATTAATGAAGGAAATTTTTTGTTTAATTATTTTCTTACTTCCATTCTGCCTGCGCTTGTGCCATTTAATTTGTTAAGATTAGAATTAATTAGTAAGTTGCGATTCCAACCTTAAACCTATGGGGTTGGGTCATGACAAAGGTGGTATCAGAACAATGGTTTTAACCTTCTATGTAGAATCTTACGTTTGTACCATGACTAATTTTGGTGATGTAAGGATGTCCGAGTTTATTCTTGATGAGGCATTATGGAATGAGCTTGAGGCTATAAATTTAGAGGAAATCTTGGCAAAACACCACGCTTTCGCCTTGGCATAAGAATGGGGTGACTCTGAAGACATAGTCAGGCAACTACATCCAGGCTTTACCCAATTGGTGGGTCGGCCAATATATGTACAGGCCGATCATGATGATGTAGCATACTTATCGTGGAGGCAGAGTCGTGCCTATATGCGCGAACGATATCTCGTACCTACTCGCATAATCGGCCTTACCCTAAAATTTGGCCACCCTCATTATGTAATTGGCCCTTTGCCCCTAGATTTTGCTAATAAGAGGGGAAATTTTTACCCTGAAGATTACAAGTTCACCAACATCCCTAACCTTTTGGAATATATATAGTCCGTCCCCATTTACACAGTCCAGGCAGCGTGAGTTTGTTTTGGTGTGGTACAATTAGGGTAGGAGGTTGTGTTTTTTATGCAATGCTATTTCCCGTGGTTGTTTGATCCACCACTCTAGAATTTGTAGAAGAAAATTATTTTGTGAGCTAACCATGATGAGTTCTGATCCCTATTTTGTTTTTGTACCACAGGGATAAGACACTAACATAATTTTTGATTTTGAGGACAATGATGTAATATTATATTTGCAAAAATAGTAAAGTAAGTATTTTTTATATAAGCTGTGTTATGAATGTAGTGCTTCGTTTGTTACTTTGTAGAATGACCACTAATGGTAACGGAAGCGAGCCATCTGTCAGCGGAACTGAATCAATGGAAAGAATCATGGAAAGAGTAGTTACCAGCTTTTTGCAAGCACTGCAAACCAACATAAACAATAGGATCCCGAAACGGCAATAAAAGCCGATTACCATAAAACAATTCTAGGATCTGAAACCCACCACATTTACTGGCAGTCCAGATTCAATGGCATTAGACGCTTAGGTTAAAGACATGGAAAATATTTTTTGCACCTTGCCTTGTACCGAAAGACAGAAGGTAACTTTCACCACTTTCACGTTCAAAGATAATGCATAGGAATAGTGGCTTCTCACCCTAAAGAAAGAAGAAATCGTGACTTAGGCAAGATTCTTGGAAGTAAAAATACTTCCCAGATTCGCTGTACGAACAAAAGGCGTCGGAATTTATACACCTAAAGCAAGGAATAATGACGGTGGCCGAATACGAGAGCAAGTTCACACAACTCGTTTGATTTGCGACATATGTCATCCTCACCGAAGCTTGAAAAGAAATGAAATTCGAAGCAGGATTGGATGTTGAAATCAAAGATAGGCTTGAGGTTTTGAAACTACCAACCTATGCGGAAATGGTAGACCAAGCGTACATTGCGAAAAAGGGAATTAAAGCCTTGCGCTTCGGGGGGACCAAGCCAAAAGAAGAGATTTTGGAAAAGAAACAATAGAAGATTTGGTGTTGTGCCTTGCAAGAGGGTAAATACAAGCACAACCAATTCAGGCAATCAAGGTCCTACTAACCCCCAAGGTAGCCCTATTCCAACTTGTCCTACGTGTGGGAAGGCTCATTGGGGACAATGCCGTCAAGACACAAGAGCATATTTTAAATGCGGTCAAGTTAGCCACTTGCTGAGGGATTGTCCAAAGCTTACTAATCCTACAGTAGGCCCCTCTAGACCAGTTAGAAAACCCGCATGACCTGAAGGAGGGAGGAAGGACCAAAAACGCCAAGGAAGGGCTTTTGCCTTGGTACCTGGAAAACTACAAGTGATTGAAAACGTTGTGTCAGGTACACTTTCTATCTGTAGTCATTTAGCTCATGTTCTCATTGACTTGGGTTTAACTCATTCTTTTGTTACGCCACACTTTACTGCCAAGTTGACGTCGACACCTGAACCCTTAGGATATATATTGTCTGTGTCTTTTCTTTCTGGTCATTCTACGCTTATTACTAATGTGTACAAATCATGTAATATATCCTTAAAAGGCAAAATCTTATACGTGGACTTGATTCCCCTCCACATTTGTAACTTTGATATAATCCTAGGAATGGATTGGCTAGTTGCCAACTATGCCTCTATTGATTACAAAGCCAAAAAGGTATCCTTCTGGTTACCAAACAAACTCGAGCTTGTCTTTAATGGGATTGGAGTTTCCAACACTCTTTGTCTTGTATCCTCCATAATAGCCCAACGACTTCTAAGAAAGGGTTGTTGTAGTTATATCTGTCACCGTCAATGCAATCCCCATGGTTAGAGAATTCACA